TGGTTAATTTTTTAACCATCATTGAACCTGTGACCAAAAAATCTACAGTAAGTTGTGTCAACAACTATTGGCCAATTCCTCTTACCATGATCATTCCTAAATACTTTGAAAGACTGCTATTCAATCACATAAAGCTATGCGTCACAGCGGAGGTAGATCACCAGGTATGAGACTTTAACACCAACTGCTCTCAGACTGTCAGCCTGGGCAGGCAAACACTCCCCATCCTCACTCTGACCACGGAGTTCTGCAAGGCTATGTGCCGAGACCCTTCCTGTATGCTCCGGACAGACATGACCATCAGTGCATGCACAAGACGAATACCACTGTTATGTTTACAGATGAGACGACAGCCATTGCACTCAATTTGACATCATAACAATATGATGTCATGTGTGTGTTTTAATAACACACACACCAAAGAGATGATTATAGAGTCCCGAACCAAAAAGAAAACCACAGACACACCGCTACACATCCATAGAGAGAGTCTACTGCGCACCACACTGCCACCAACACTGCAGCTTTTACAGCACAGTAGAGAGCATCCTCGCAGCTTGGTGTGGTAGCTGTACCAAAGCTGACAAAAGGCCCTCCAGCATGTTGTGGAAAGATTGTGGGCACAGAGCTACCATATCTGGATCATCTTTGCACCACTTGCTGTGTGAAGAAGGCCACAAAGACTCTCCAGACCTCCATTTGTTCAAGCTTCGCCCATCAAGCAGGTACTTCAGAGGTGTACAAACACGCAAATAGGCTGAAACGCATCCTTACACACAGAAAAACAAAATCGCCTTTCACTAAACAGGACAAACTGGAATGGGTTAAAACAGTGCAGCGCTCATCCTGGATGTCACCACCTTTCTGTACTTCTTCCTGGAGGTGTATTAGTCTTTTTTTCCCATTTCATTTCTCAGAGTTGCAAATCTGAAAGTATTGGTGGAAGTTGCACTTGTTTAAATGTCTTATGTCCTTACTGTTTACCTTCTTTTTTTACTTAGACAGACAGAAATACCCACCAAAATAATGTTCTATACCCAAGTTTGAGGCAACACACTGGACTTCTCTGAAAAGTGAGGAATAATCAAACTACAAAAACGTTTATGTTTAGGAATGCAAGCAAATAACTGTAAGGTATAAATACTTTTCTATTATCCTATTTATTTTTTATTTATTTTCCTCCTACTGTTTGTGTATGTACGTCCGTGCGTGTTGTGCTGTGTGTAAATGTTGTGCACAAGGTTAGGGAGGGAGTATAACTGTCACTTCGTTATGTTTCCATAGTAAGTGCTGAATCCTGAACGTCTTCAGAGTCAGTGCTTACACCGTCCCACCAGATGGCGATAGTGAGCGCTGAGCCCATTCTGAGCTGATAGAAAAAAAACACAAACAACCACAAGAAAACCACAAAACCAAGATGGCGGTGCAGGAGACAGCATCTCAACTGTCCATGGCTCTCAAAGTCCAAGAATATCCCACCCTGAAGGTAAACACAAACGCATAATGGTGTATATTGATAGCCCAATGAGTCTGCTGTTGCAAAAATACGCGATGCGTGCTGTGCCACTTGGAAAGAAATCGGAATTAGTCGTTCATTAGATAGCGAGTGAACTCGTCAGGGAGGCTAACGCTAGCTGAATTAGCTTAGCCAGGCACCCAGTGTCCGTAAAGTGCTTGTTTTTATGAACGGATGTAAAAATATGAGTGGTCCCCTAAACGATATAAGCTGGGGGTTAGTTGGTTAGCTTCCTGCTGGGTTAATTCTTTTTATTATGGACTCTGAGTCCGTCAGAGGCCCAAAAGCTGATCGCTTGACTTTTTGTTGGGTTTGGCCTGATTATCCTTTTAACCATGGCTCGTGAGCTCACCTAAGTACCTACCACCTACCTAAGGGTGCATCACCTTAAAGATGGCTGGCCTGTGGGAAGCATGCTTTTTTGTGTAGTGTATGTGTGCGAGTGTACAGCTTGTCTCCTGCGCTGACCTGGACATTTAAAAAAGACACTGGGATAGGAGGTTTAAGGGTTACAGTTTATATGGTTACATGGAAGCAGCATGGTTACTCGCCCCCAGTCAGAGAAGTGACATGCAAACGTGATTGGCCTGCTAACTCGGCCGTTAGCTTAGCTACGGCACTTAAAACCAGTATTTGTCGTGTTTAACGAGCAGCCTGCCCAATTCATAACGTCAAAGCAAGCGAAATCCGGGCTGGTTCGGAGATAGGTGGGTTTAAAGCTTTCGGGGGAGGAGGAAGATCCCCTAACCCGGTGCTGTCAGGCGGAGAAGCAGCACCGTGAGTTAGCGCAGTGTCATCAGATTGCTGCTGCTGCTGCTGCCTCTCTGTACTTCAAAATGGCCAGTGAGAGAAATCACAGCCTGCCGCCGCCGCACACACGCACGGTTTTCCTCCATTCCACATAACGCTGCTGCTGCGACACCGCTGCTAAAAGACAGGTCCGGGCTGCTTCCTGTGATCAGGAGAGCGTCGTCATATAAAGACAGCAGGGCTGTGAGTACCGGCGCATTTACTGCTTTTGTGTGGTAACTAATTGTGTAATGTTGCATGATGGATAGAAGCATTTCCTGCTGCAGCTGATGTTAAAATGCCTCTGTGCTGAGCATGCATGGCTTTGGTTTGGGGATGTCTCTGGCTGCTATGGTTGGATGCTGCAGTGAGATGATGGGCACCATTTTAAGACAGGAGTGATGGTTGTAATTGGCATCAAATGGGAGTCTACAGCTGCAGGACAGCAGTGTTGATTACATTTGGAGCTGTATTGAGCAGAATTTTATCATTGTAATAATGCCTGTCCCAGAAGCTGAAGAAGGTTCTAATCTGATCTGTATTTCTGCATTACTAAGCATATATAAAGATCTCACAATTAAGACACAAAGGTATTAAAATGTTGAGAGCAAAATGCAGTCAAAATGATAATTAAATCACTTGAGCCTTGTATTGATTATTACTGTGATTGTTATTAATATGTAATGTTTGCTGTTTGAAATAGGCTTCCTGTTGTCTCTTCCAAGGATTCACTTAAAACAATTATGAATGATAACCACCATACTCATATACTGTATGGCTTTTACTGTGATAACAGTCTGCTTTGTATTCATGGCTGAATTACATGTTCACTCTTGACTAAATCAAGGTCATATCATAAAGGGGTTACTAATCTTAGCAATGTTATAACATCTAGTAGCCAGTCAAATTCAGAAAGGGGATATTTCAGTTTTCCCAACATGCAGCTAAAAAATTTTTGCAGACATGGGCCTTATGGATTATTTAAGAATATGTGTTATTTATTTTATAAAAATGTATCTGAAAAGCTGTTAACAAAAGACTTTATGGCTAAATTATAAAGGAGAATGTGTGCTTCCATGTGTGGTCACCACCCTCAAGCCTTCTTTTTGAGCCAGGAAAAACCCTGGGTTAGCACAGTCTGTACCAGCAGGTATGCCATTGACATGACCATCTACAGAAAAAGTTATGAGTCTGTTCGAATTGCCATGAGGATGAGTCTGCCACAGAAAAAATATGTAATCATTTTCAAGCAGCTTTTTAAAAAAATGAGCACCAAGTTTTGTAAAAGTTAATTAGAGCTTACCAATCTACCATTTAGCTACTATGTTACTATGTTACCAAAGCCTGCTACATGTGTTTTTCCCCAGAACAAAATCAAAAACATTGACATGTTCAATAAGTGTTGTGAATTGAGGAGACTACACATTTGTGTCTGTCAGCTGGCCAATAACAGCAGGACAACTAATAGATTTATATTAAAAATGTAACACAGACATATTGAAATGACTTTGACGTAATGCAAACTGATTATCTCTAATGACCCTCTCTGAGCCAGGAAAAACCTTTTACCTACGTTATAAATATACCTCGGCTCTTCCTTACATCTTGCTAAAATCATCGTCTTCTGTGTTGAAAAATTTGAGTTGTGAGTACTGGTAGTTATTTGTTGATCTGGGCAACCAGAATATTTGCTGGTCAATAAGTAAGTATAAACCTTGTCTGTGGCGAATCCTGACTCTAATGTAGTCGTCACTGAAAGATATTAGGGAGTGGAGGCTGACATAAAGGTAATGTTTAATCTCTGTTATATTCTGATGGGAGCTGTTAGTGTAATATGAAAAATCCATCCAATAATTTTTTTTGGAGTATATACCAATATGTGGTAAAGTAAGCTATCTGAGAAATGCGGCCCATTTGGGCTTTGCATTTGGTGCTGCATTCTCCAGTTTGTCCCCCCCGATTCCTTCCTCGCCATCTTAGTAATCTGTGACATAAACTGGGCTCTGAATTAAAAGAAACGCTCCTTTCAATCGGTCAAAGCACTTCTTTTGTTGATCCAGCATGTCAGCAGAGGGAATATCAAGAATCACATGAAACTAGTTAAGTACTTTTATTGTTGTGCAAAGAAAATAATTACATCATTTAACAAAGCAGGTTTCCCTGAAAAGGACGTGTTTCGAATGCTTTTTTAGCTTTTTCAAGCTGAGTTTTCAGAAGTTTACAGACTCTTGACTGCGCTCCAGTGTGTGCCAACTGGTGAGGGGAAATGGTGTTTTTTTTCCCCCCCTTCTCTTCGTGGTCTGGATGAAGTTCTTGAATCTGTTGTGACAGCTTACTTGCTTTTCTAAAATTGAATGACCATAAATTGATATGGAAGTTTTATTTAAAGTGAACTGACGGAGAAAGTAACATTTTTACAGAAATCTGTTGCAGTTTTTCAGTTTAAGTATTAGGAAATGTTTAAGCAGGAGTTTAGCATCATGTTTTTGTTCTTCATTCCAGATGAAACGGCATAAATTAGAGAACAGAACATCTCAAATTAAGCATAATGATGGCCAATTGTTCTGTATCAAGGATAAGAAAAAGTAAAGCTTTAGTATTTAAACAGTTTTCTACCATATTGTCTTGAGGTAATTCACATATTGAGCTATAATCGTAGCTTATAAAATTACACTAAGATGCATTAATCCCCTTGAATGAATGTCTGAAATAGAACATTTATGATGTGTACAGGTGCCATACGAGACTCTGAACAAACGCTTTAGAGCGGCTCAGAAGAACATCGACAGAGAGACGAGTCACGTCACAATGGTAGTTGCAGAGCTGGAGAAAACGCTCAGCAGCTTCCCCGTGGTTGACTCGGTGGTGTCCCTGCTGGATGGAGTGGTGGAGAAACTCAGTGCCCTGAAGAGGAAGGTAAGAGATACAGGCATACACATTTTCCAAGTGTAACAGTCAAGTCCTTCCAGACTGGTATGAGTGCCAAGTTTCCTTTTAGTTTTAGTGAGGGAGTTTGCAGCTCTTGAACATCATGTTTTTGAAGGCATAAAAGTCGATATTTTCCACCACCTTTTATGATAACACTTGATTTTATGAACATGCATAGCTTTGCACATGTTCTTTTCATCCCTAACAGTAAATCTCTGATGGCGCTGACTCTCTGCGGTTGCTTGTTTTCTGTTCCACTGAAGCTGACCACACAATAGAGGTTCTATCAGTTTCAACTTTAGCCTTTTCTCTGGAAGCAGTCTGAAGCACTGCTTCTATACAAAAAGGCAATTACAGAGATAATCAGGCCCAACAGGAAGATGGCTTTCAAGTGCAACTGTGCAGCTGTATATAGCTCTATCATAATAGTCATCCCTGTGTATGTTGTCATTGCTACACTTACAGGCCTGTGTTTTAAAATGTTTCTGGCATTATTTAAAATCTCGCTTCTGGAAAGAGAGAAAACAGTTTCCAGAAGGCCAGAGAAATCTCAGTTTTCCTTGGCAGCTGTTTGAACGTGATTGAGGGAAGAAATAACTTGATGCTTTTTGTAAAGAGATAAAGTGCACGCCTTAAAAGAGGTACTTCAATCGTGCAGCTAAATTTTGGTCGTGCTCTGTGGGCCTTTCTAAGTTACTCGAACCCGTCTGCACACCATCATTTTGCCTAACATGTAAAATAGTGTGAAGAGGTAAAGCAGAACCAACCACCTACATCTTGTTAACCTGGAGTAGAAAAGCTGTTATACATCTATGCATCACACGTATTATCTTCTTTACAAACAAAATCTTGCTTCACGTAGAGCCGACCATGGAAAACCACAGTAATCACTGTTTTAGCAAAAGCACCTCATTAGGTGGATTGCATTTGTTTGCCAAGGAATGCTGCAAGGGTGGCTCGTGTGTTGAGCTGTCAAATCGCACTTTTGCTTTTTAAAAATAAAAATAAAAAATTTACCTCTATGTCGACATTCTCAGCAGATACAAAAGGTTCATTTTGGGCGGAGGAAGGGGGGAACTTTAATTGTGTGTCAGATTATGTCATTAGACACTGCACTGATTGGGCATCTGAAGTCTGAGAAGTGAAAAATAAAACATGCTTTGTTCCATTTCTACCAGGAAAACAATGCTTATCTAAATTGGTGTTATACAATTTTATATTTGTTTCTTTTTCAATTTACTCTAAAAGTACAAGATGTGCTGAAAAGCGAGCCTAGGATTGTAATTATGTGCTGAAGGATCACCGAGTCCTTACTGCATGTAACAGTGGAAAGAAATTACTCCTTTGTGGTTGTGATCCATAATTTCCATCCTGCCATGTCTGTGAAGCAGAAAGCAGCAGTTTTGTTCCAACGAAACTTGAGCAGCGTTCAAGGTTTCTGACTTCTTGGTTTCAGTGTTCAGGGTTTGTTCCTGTTCTAAAGTCAACCATGTTACATGTCATAAACATAATTCATTTTAATTATCCTTCTTAGAGAAACGATTAACAGGAAGCATTTTGTAGCTCTCGTGATTGTGTTTGTGTCCCGTAGGCTGCAGAGTCCATTCAAGCAGAAGACGAGAGTGCCAAGCTGTGTAAGCGTCGCATCGAGCACTTAAAGGAGCACAGCAGCGACCAGCCAGCTTCAGTTAACCTGTGGAAGAAGAAACGGATGGACCGCATGATGGTGGAGCATCTGCTGCGCTGTGGCTACTACAACACAGCTGTGAAACTGGCCAGACAGAGCGGTATAGAGGTAATTACAGGGCTCCTACAGTTCATGTACAGAAAGAGGCAAAGGTTTTCGGTTTTCTGTATTTCTTCATAAATATGACCTGAAATCATTTTTTTAAAAAGAGAACCTAATTAAAGAAATTGTTCTATGATTTACATTTCTTTACTGAGGGTTTGATCCAGTATTATGTATCTGCAAGGGGAAAAGGTATTTACCTTTACTGTCAGTATGTAGTGCAGGAGTAATTGCAACTTAACTTCTGATGTGCAGAACGACAAGTTCTGCACATCAGTTTAAAGGACTTTTAACCAGTTCCTTATATACAGAGTGTTTAACTCCAAGAAGGATTTCGCTGATACAGACCAGCTGGTTGGTCAGTGGCAGGCCCTGTTCAGATCTGTGGCAGATCCCTGCTGGATCTCCATCTGCTCCTTGGCTGTTAGGAGATTTAGTGAATACAGCCCTGACTCTCAAAGCAGAATCCATGGTACTGTCCTTGTGTTTCTGTGGCTTTTGGCTATTGAGAGTGAAGGATTATGGATGTTCTGTCTTTGCACATGTCCTTGCATATGGTCATTCAAAACAACAGCAGCATGTGGCACTACGGTGGTGATGATAGGCAGAGGTAGAGTTAAAGGGAGCAAGAGTGGAATTCAGCAGCAGCTTGAAGTACAGGCTGTGGCTACACTGGACAGCTTTCATTGTTCTTAACACTCTGTTTCTTTACACCATAAAAAGCTCTTTGTTATGATTTAGACTTGCAGTTGAAGGTAAACCAAAAAGACCAACAACAGCGCGTACACGAACAAGACAACTTTCCCCACTGCCCTGTGTTCATAATAAACAGCTACAACATGTAGACACCCCTAAGTAGGAATGTGGTTTTACATTAATAATGGATAAACATTAGTTTGTTTATCCAACAGGAAGAGCAGTGATAATGGGAACTCATATTTAATTGTATCTGCAGCGATATTGATTTATTTGTTGATAGGAAATCTAAAATGGGGGTAGTTTTAATGAGAGAACAAGCCAAATGGCCAAAAGGGAGCCTGCATTAGGCTACGTTCACACTGCAGGCGAAAGCGCATCAAATCCGATTTTTTTGACCCTGTGCGACCCATATCCGATCATGGTGTGACAGTGTGAACGGCACAATCCGATATTTTCAAATCCGATCTGGGTCACTTTGTATGTGGTGCTGAATCCGATACATATCCGATGTTTCAGAAAGCGACTGCTGTTTGATGGTCAAGTCGCATTAAATCCGTCTTTTACGTCACTGACACAAGACGGACGCCAATTATCAGCTCCGGAGTAGACACCGTGAACACTTCCTGGCCATCCAGTGTAGATGTCAGTGAAACTGTTGGGGGAAAAAACGTTGGAGAAACGTGAACATTTTATTTGTATCTGCAGATTCTGACAGAAATCTGCAGCTATCCTTTGAAGCAGCGCTCCTCTTACACAGCAATAAGGATCATTGTTAGGTTATTTACATTATTATGTAAATAACAAAATAACTTAAAGCAAAAATTGGGAAACGTAAAGTCCGAAGTCTTTATATTAAGGGCCATCAGTCAAACAATACTGTTGCTCTGGGTCTGAACAGAGCGCGTTTGCTGTCGCATTTTATTTGTAGTGTGAACGAGCAGACAAATAAATCGGATTTGATCAAAAAATCTGAATTGAGCATCAAGACCTGCAGTGTGAACGTAGCCTGAGAGTACTGTTTCTGTAATGTGGAATCACTACAAGATTAAATGCAGTGTTTTAAACAAACACTGTGAAGTTCATTTGTCTGTGGATAATACTACTGAAAAGCATGGAAATAAATTGTGCTGTCAGTTAAAACTGTCTATTTACAAACATGCCCTGCCCAAACACGCCAAAAGCATTACAGTGCTTCTCTTTTTCTGCAAGATTCAGTTGAATGCAGCCCACACGATCAGAGTTTCTGCTGGAAGAACGACTACTTGAATACTGAAGCACAGACATCACTTTGCTATGAATGGTGTGATTTCATGAGCCAATGCATGAAATCTACACAGTATTTTAAAAACCGTATCACCAAACTAGACAGGACGTCCCCCATCCATGCCTGTCTCTAAAACCTTTCCCCTCACTTATTTTACAGTTTTTTGTCCTCGAGATACTGTTTCAGAACATTTTTTAAAAGTATTTATAATATTTTTTTAATCATCTAAGATGTGTGTGATTTCTGTCTTGGACTTAAATGGCCTCCAGCTGGATACAGAAATTCTGAGTGGCTTCATCGTTTTGAACTGCTTGCTTCAGGTCCTTTCAGAGCATTTGTATTGGATTTGCTCAGCACATGTTACAAAACATTACCTTTACTCTTTTTAATCCTTCTTTTGTAGAATGACATGTGCTGAGCATTGCTGTCTTGCTGCATGACCCAGTTTGCTTTTTCTTTTTTTTACAGGCACATCCTGACATTTGAGAAATTTTGTAGTATAATTCAAATGAATCTCCCCACTAAGGACCGGCAGACAAGGCCTACAAACCATGACTCGAACAGTACAGTGCGCTTCAGATGGGATGAGATTCAGATGCTGGAATGCTGTCTTTTTATTTCTTCAAATGTAGTGCTTATGATTTACACCAAACAGTTCCAGTGTCTTTCTCTAACAAACAGCAGATGAGCAGCTGTGTTCTTTTGGAAGAGCAGTGGCATTCTCCATTCAACCGTGACATGGATAACATTTTTGTTCAGTGTTCTGCTGATGGTGGGCTGAAAAACATGAGCGTGAGCCAGTGTGAGAGGCCTTTAGTTTCTGAGAAGCACGTTACCCGGGGTTACTTTGTCACCTCGGGTACTATTACACATTTTGCTCTCTGAGGAATATTTGTTAGTCAAGTATTCCCAGGGAGGGTAACAATGGTCTTGAATTTCTCTTTTTTTTTGTACAACGTCTGTCAGCCTCTATAGAGAGTACTCAATAGCCAGCCTAATGAGCATCACGTCCTTGTTTCTGAGGTCCTCGGAGATTTCTTTTGTTTAAGCCATGATTGACTTCATGAAAAATGTGTAGCGAAGATCAGACTTTAATAGATCTCTTCTTCTTTAAATTAATATCCTCATAGCTGTTTGTCAGCTTGTTAGTTAAAAGAAAAATCTTCTCGTTCACACATACCTTTCACATACAGAAATAACCTGTGTTTTTCTGTCTCTGTTGTGTTTTTAGGATCTGGTGAACATTGAGATGTTCCTCACAGCTAAGGAGGTGGAGGAGTCTCTGGAGAGGCAGGAGACAGCCACTTGCCTGGCTTGGTGCCATGACAACAAGTCCCGCCTCCGCAAGATGAAGGTAGAATAATTAATGATGTTTCAAGGTATTGTTAATACTAGCTTTGATACCAGTGAACCCTGAAAAAAACCCCTGCTATCAGTTTTTTACATTGCATAGTTTTGGCTCTAATAAACAACAGGCAGCAGTGTAACCGGTTTTTGATGCGAAAAATTAAGTCTTGATTGCTTTTCTTGTAGCTTTCGCTCTGCTGAGAATCCCAGCAAGTTCCCATTTTAATCCCAACATTATTTTATTAGACAGGGTCTGAGTCCTCAGTAGAATTCAGACGGGAGTCAATAATCGGACTTGTTGGCTGTTAATTATTTATATGGACGTCTTTGTTTTTCTTTCTCGTGAGAACATCAGTAAAATTTGGTTTAGTTTATCTTCTTGCCAGTTGGGCAATATGTAAATCAGAAAAACTATAGTTCCAGTTGGTAACAGATGTGGGTTTTTTCCCTGCTCAGTCCATTTAGATGGTAAAATATTAACAGATCATTTTGCTGTTTGTTCTGTCTCGATTTCCATGGACATTATTAATTAACCATGGGAGGGTCGCCTCATTTTTTTAAACTCGATGCCTCCTCTTCCATCTTTCCTTTCTCTGGCAGAGTTGTCTTGAGTTCAGTCTGAGAATCCAGGAGTTCATTGAGCTCATCAGACAAAACAAGCGCATGGATGCAGTGCGGTACTTAAAACACACACACAAATAATTTTTTCACCTGAAGCCTTTTACTCACGTATTTCCACATTTGCAGTTGCGTTACTGAGATTGTGAGTCTCTCTGTGTGTATTAGACATGCTAGAAAGCACTTCAGCCAAGCAGAAGGTGGACAGTTGGATGAGGTTCGGCAGGTGATGGGCATGCTGGCCTTTCCATCAGATACGCACATCTCTCCATACAAGGTAACATTAGTGGTCTTTATCAGTGTGAATGTCTACAAGGATATCATTTGATTTGATCAGAAGTCATTACACAGCAATAGTTTGTGCTTTGGCTCAATAAAAAGGTCAGATTTTCAGTCAGGCTGGTAATTCTGACCTGGTCATTTTTGTTTTGTTTCTGTGTTCAAATATAGATAATTTATGCTTTCTAAAGAAAACTGATATGTGTAGAAATGCTATGTTGAAAATCTCTTGCTCTGTGTTAAGAAGAAAGAAAAACATTTGGGAAAATTTTGAGAAAAACTTTAAACTCCATGGGTCTGTCCTCGTGGAAATATTGGTACCACTTTGGGCAGAGCTGTGACCAAACCAGCCTGACTTCTTGTGTGTTTGAAGTAAAGAGAAAGCGCTATAGACACAGACCAGCCACCAGAGGGCCTCCATTGTCTTTTACAAAAAGCTCAATTCCCTTTTTGTACAGGCTTTCAGTGGCACTGCTATTTTTAATTTTCCACTCCAACATCCTCTGAATTGTACTATGGCACACTGTCACCAAAAAAGCCTTTGGCTTTTTTTCTTTCGCTTTTAGGCAAGCCAGTGTAGTGTTTGTGCCAGCTGCTTGTGCCAGAGTTACAGTGCCAGTATGCTATTAACGGGAGAGCTTAGTAGCTTCCATTATTATCATAGTGTTTTTCCTCAGTGTCATGATAACTTATGATCATAATAAAAGTAATCATAAATATAATCATGCTCAATAAAAATACTGCCAGGGGTAATTAAAAAGGATTAAACTGTAATTAATTTAGACAACTCAGTTACATTACTGATAGGATTACAGTCTCAGCTGTTCTTGGAAAAACCGTTAATCACAATTCACTTGAAATCAACATCGCTGATTAAAGACCAAGTCAGAA